ATCCACATTTTCTCTGGAGTTTCATGTAATTTCGGGTGTTTCATTTTTAATTTGTCAGCTTTAACCGCAGTTTGGCACTTTAACTTACATTCGGGAACATTTTAAGCATGCCCCTGTGACAAACGAGATTTTGGATGGGAGTATGAACATTCTGGGTAAATGTTGTTTTAATGGAATTTGATACCGCTCTCCAAATAGGGAAAAAAAACTCGCATTTCGCTACGCAGGTGTCTTTGGTCCTTCACTGACTTGGTATGTGCAGAGAATAGTGTCAAACAGGCATGTGTGTATCCTGCCACAAAACGGGGCAAAAATCCCACACGACAGTAGTTTGATTGTGGTGTTTACATGTCTGCACAGTACTTCAATAATGCTAAAATTGGCATACTCCATGTCTTGATCTGATTTCTGTTTAGTCTGATTATGACTTTAGTCGGATTAAGGTCATCAAAAATCACTGTTTACATGACTCTTAATCAGAGTATTGTCTTTATCGCATTAATCGCTTTATCGATTATGTGCTGGGTGCCACACAAATGATTTGTATTTGGACAATATGAAACAATTAACTTAACTTATTAGTTTTTACTAGTAGATTGAACATAAATCAATTAAGTTGTCCCACAAACGACTCAAGCATTGTATTGTTTCAGCCTATTTTAAATAAGTAGTTTGAACAAGCAGCAGTATAAAAAACAGTATATATTTATATATAATTAGTACGATAAGGCGCATTTATATGAACAATAAGTAAGGCATAATCAACAGTTTGCTGTGCGTTAAATTATTTGAAATGCACGAAGTGGAGACAAAAAAATCACCCAATGCACAGCGGAGGGTGGTTTGCCTCTACAAAGTGCTTTTAAAATCCTTTAACGCACAGCAATTCCTTGATTATCCAACCTATTCTATGGTCATTTGCAAAGTTATAGACAAGTTAAAATTAGTTTGGTTAGATCGGTCCCCATAGAATAAGCAGTAAATGACACAGGCACACTGTAGGCTGGTAACAGCTGCTTTTTCTGATCTTTTAATCTAATACTTTGAAAGTTTGCGATATAATGGCTCAGTGGTTAGCACTGTCACCTCACAGCAGGAAGGTTGCTGGTTCGAGTCCTAGCTGGGCCAGTTGGCATTTTTGCGTAGAGTTTGCACTTTCTCCCCATATTCATGTGGGTTTCCTCCAGGTGCTCTGGTTTCCCCCACAGTCCAAAGACATGCGCTATAAGTGAATTGAATAAATTAAATTGGCCGTAGTGTATGTGTGTGTGTGGCGATCTATGATAAATCAGAGACTAAGATGTATTTTAAAATGTACAATTTTCATAATTTACCAAATAAATCAGATCAACACCAGATCAATTTAACATGCTTTATAAATAGGATACTTATTGACTAATGAAATGATAGGTAGATATTTGTTTTCCAATGCAACTACACACTTTATTCTTGTTTAAAGTTTTAAAGTAGGATTTTATTTTTATAAAATTAGTTTAAATAATTATCATATTATATTAAAATAAATATTTTAGAACATCAAATGTAATTAAATTAGTTGTCTAATAATAAAACAATAAAATAATGATTAAGCAAAGGAATTGATCAATCATTCAACATGCGAGGTATTCGAGTCTTTTCTTTATTTCAATGTTGTTGTCAATAGAATAAAATGATTAAAAACACATTAAAGACTATACACTATATGAAATAAAACATTCATTCACAGGCGCTGTAAGTTCTGTTTGAAAAGAATGAACCCATATCATATTTCAGAAATCTCATTTGCAGTCAAATAAGTTTTTTTTATTTTTATTTTTTTTTGCAAGAGAAAATATTTAAACATATCGGGACTGGTGAGAGAACATTCTTCTATAATGCTTTCGTTTTAATTGCCAGCAGCATTTGTTTTTAACACAGCTCTGCCAGTGACAGTGGTTGAGATCAAAATGAAAAGCAAATGAAAGACATCTTGAAGGGGGTGGGACATGACAGATACTAAAGAGCATTTGATTAGTCAGAGTTTTGACGAGAAACTGAAGTATGAGGTGACATGAAAAAAAGCATTAATCCAATTAAAACTTTGTATGTTGATATCGGTTTTAGATTTTCTAAACACAAATTTTGGAGAACACTAGATATCATTAAATTAACAGACTGATTATAATATCTGAAAAACTTTATTTTAATTTCACCCTACCTTTAAATCTGTCCATGTCTGCACTTATGAATGAGCTCAATAGGCGATGACAGAGTTTAGCGACTGTTTGAACACTTGCGCTCACACTACAGAGAAAGAAGGCTCCGGCAACTCTCATTCATAGCAGTTACCTCTAATTTTTAGGGAAGTGTTATAATTTCAAACTGTGATCAAAACTGACTGGATTACCTGTGAGCTTCAGCTAATTTAATGCACACCCTTCAGCCGATCACAATCAAGGATTTCAACAAACCATAGAATAACTGAATATAATTGCATAGGATTGTATGAAAATGTTTTAAAACTTTCACTTTAAAGTCTATTTTTCAAAGAAACAAAATACTGTTGTCATATACTTGAACGGAAAAGGTTAATTTATTAAGTTTTGTTAAATTTTGTTGATTAATCCTTATTTTCCAACTCTTATATGTAATCATCATCATTATATATGATTATCATGCGTGGATCATTTTGGTGTGAACTATCCCTTTAAATAATGATAAAACAGTTACCTCATATTAATCTAACTTAATAAAGCACAGAGACTGTTTTTTTTTTTTTTTTACCTTCATCATAGATAATAATAAGGAACATATGTTTTGTCTGCTCGGACACAGGAAAAAGCATTTAAATGTGCGGTGTAAACACAACCGGGTATCACAAGAGATGCGCTGATAAACTTATCTACAAAGGTTAGCTTTAGTGGACCACTTGTACAGGTTTATTTGACAAATTAAAGTAAAGATAAAGAGATAAATACATCATATTATTCATTTTTAGAATTATTATAAAAAGGCACATGATAATATATCCCTCACTGGCTATAGGAAATAAAACAAAGGTGAAGCATTGCCATCCAGAGGGTAAAACTGGTAAAACATGTATAAGATGTGTCTTGTTTGCTTGAGTAGCCAGTCTACATTAAATGTTTTTAAGTGAAATAGTTTTAAATAAAACAAATTTATAAAAGTCTATTTTACAATACAACATTATATAAATATTACAGTATTTTTAATTAATACATTTCAAGTGACAATATAATAGAAAATCAATTGTTTTAAAGGGATAGTTCACCCAAAAATGAACATTTAAAAAGTACAACTTTAAAAAAAATTTCTACCTATGTCTTGTTACTTGCTGTGTCGTTAATATTTTCGAGATTAATTTCGAGATTAACTGCAACTTGCTAAATTAAAATATTTTTATGTCTTTTTATCCCTAAATTTACTCACTCTCAATTCATCCTAGGTGCATATGCCTTTAAGAGAAACACAGCTGGATAAAATGTTGAAAAATATCATGGCAGTGTAATATTTAGGCATGCAGCGAATAGTGTTTAAGATTTTGAAGCTGCAAAACTGCATCCATCCGTCAAAAAAAATCTATACAACTGCAATGGGTAAATGAATATATTCAGAAGGCATTCATTAGCCAACTGGACTCATATGGATTACTTTTATGATGTATGGTGATTCAGAAAACTTGAGTAGTTACTACCATACACAGTTGGGAAGAGTCAGGAAATTATATAATCAGTGGTGAAAAGAGTATTGAAAGATCATACTCAAGTAAAAGTACCATTACTTTCCCAAAAATAGAGTTAAAACGTCTGTTATAAATATTACTCAAACTATGAGTAAAAAGTAGACATTTTAAAAATGTACTCAAGAGTAGTGAGTATTACGCTGGGAAAGGTTGATGTGTTTACATGTGAGGGTGTGTGTGTATTACTAACATTCTGTAGTGCATTTAGTAGTTGTTTAAGGCCATTTCAATCATCATACAGTCGACATCTGCCATCTTCTCATTAGTGAAATGCAATCTAAAAAGTTTCTGGGTCTTTGCATGTAAACAGGGGTGCCCAAACTCGATCCTGAAGAGCTCCATCCACAATTAGACAAATCGAATCCAACTAATCAAGCTTTTACCAGGTTTTCTTCAAAACTATTGGCAAGTGTATTGAAGCAAGTTGTAAATAGTGTAAATGTGCGATTTGATTAGACTTGCAGGGCTGATTTTTCAAATCCCCATAGACTATAAATAATAAAGTAGTGACTGCAGGTTGAAGGAAAGTAGTGGAGTTAAAGTACCAATAGTGCACTAAAAATGTACTCAAGGGAAAGTAAAAGTACACTGTAAAAGAAACCTTATGATTTAAAAAAGTCACATTTAGGTTTCACTGGATGTTTAGCATTGGCTGAAAAACACTAGCTATGCATATACTCCATTGGATTTGCCCCAATACAATTGTTTGCACTGATTTGATCACTGCCTGTCTGAAATACCTCTGAGAACGCTTCACGCTTCCTGTGCATAACGTCATAGAATAATATAGATTAATAATGAGAAACCGATGCGTCATGTTTGCACTCGCAGTTCTGTGCTACGTCGCCGATTTTGATCCCGCCCCAAAAATCATTTTAAACCCGGAGCCTGAATTTAGCTGACAAAAGCTCAAATTTATCCAGTTTTCCCCACAATTAAAGCTAACAGGTGCTAACATTGTCCTAACTGATGCTCAACACACACAGATCTGTTAAAATCTCAAAAAAAAAAAAAAGTACTCAAGGGTTTTGTGAACCTTTAATAGTCCATAGTACTGAACACATTGATTATTTGCATCTGCTGTGTTTGATTAGGGTTGGAACAAAACTGCAAAGCTGCGGCCCTCCAGGAATCAAGTATGAGACCTATGGCATATAGTCTGTTTTGAGGATTTTTTTTTCACATATGGTGTGAGCTAACTATGTAAATAAATTAACTACGTGCATAATTATACAAAATTAAGTTAGGTTAACTTAACAGTTCCAAGTTACAGAGGCTGTTTCTTTACTAACAATGCACTGAATGTATTTTGTTATAGATTAAGTTCACACTTTTTGCCATTGAAACTGATAGCAATTACACTTTGAATCATTAAACAAACACTTCCTTAAATCCACCTGCAAAACCTGTGAAGATAAGACCTTGCTTTACAACCAGGCGGTCATAGTTCAGTCTGTGTGGTTATCCACCAGTGATATATAACACATACTTTGACAGTATTCTTACGAAACGCCCGTTTCCGTCTGTTTTCTGGTAAGACACACCTGTGCCACACCGACCAGGTGCCCAGCCATGGTTAAAATGTGTTTCGGATCAATATTTCAGTCTAATTCTAACAAATATCATGTGAATGATTACACCATAGATTAGAAAGATCTATTCACGCTGGGTGTGTTTTGATATCAGACATCGGTGCATGTGAAATGGAAAAGATTAGTTGGGATAGGAAGGAAATTACGGCTTTGCAGTTTCTTTTAGCTCTGCTACTTCAACTCATTTTTCTCAGAGCTTCATCATGTGATAAATGTGCTATTGATGCTTCAGTTCACCCCATGGTAAGACTCTTCAGATTAGTTAATAAGCAGTATTGATTTCTTTACTTGCACTAATGCCTGTATTATTGTAATTCTAGACCCCCAGAAGTGGCTTCAAACAGTGCTCGAATGCCATTTGCCAAAGTGAGTAGGACTCCTGCCAGGATTTGTAATCAAATTTACGATTTATTCACGTCTTTCTCTTTGGTGTCTGTTTACGGATTGCTTTACAAACATTTACATTCTTCTTGCTGTCTGTAGATGTTGCTTGTGAGCTCGCAGCGCCGTATGCATCCTGGATTGGATCTCATAGCATCAGTTTGACCTGGGAGTCCCTGAATCAGTCTGATGTGGTGTTTGTTCCCCAGTGGACCAGTCCCAGTTTGTCCGGGATTTGGGCACAAGCTGAGGTAGTGTTTATATTTGCCATTTTGTTAGTTTAACTCTGTCTTTTATGCCTATTGTACATCCTAAATGTTAAATTGTAGTGAAATAGTCAATAGTCAAAACATTTGGTTGAACGTCTAGGTTATTTTATTTGTAAAAAAAAATTTAAAAAAGGAATTTTTTTTTATTTTCACATGAATAAAATAAAAGCTATTTTGACATGATATTTCTTGCAAATTGACTATTTAAAGTACTAATTAACAATGATTTTAAAACCATGACAAACTTTAGTGTTGTGCTGAAATAAGCTTGTCTGAAAGTTTGCAGCAGCCGTAAAATATTAAATAGGTTTATTTAAAAAAAAATAAAATTCAAGGTTTTAGTTAAGATTATAAAACACTTTTAAAAATGCTTGTATTATAGATCTACGTGATTATATAGCCTGCTGCGCATCGATCTCAATATGCATCCATTAGAAATAATGAACTTGTGCGCCCAAAAGACGCAGTATGTGAACGACTCTTAGTTAATAGCCTCAGCCATAGGTAATCCAGTGTGCGTAGGTATTACAAGCTCAACTTCAAACTAGTGCTCAATTGGCGTAACTTTGTTTAGTTGCAGCTGTTTTGTTCCATGCAGAAACACAGTGTTGAGAAGCCTTATTAACTGTGACAAATTAAAGCGTTTTTAGTAGTGAAATCGATTAATCGTTGCATCCCTAGATTCTATACAGGATGCCCTTGGCAGTTGTTAAAGTATTGCTAGGTGGTTCTTAGTGTGTCCAGATTTTTTTACAATTAAAAGAACATTAAAAACGCTTCTATTAGGGATGCAATGATTATAGATGCATTTTACATTTTAAATGGATGTGATCCACCTCCATTATGTGAGTTTGTGACACAGAAGAATAATAGTGGCAGAGCAACATGATCTATTACTAAAGTGTGCTGTGCAGTTTAGGCGTACAACTTTTTCTCGGTCAGTCTTCTCAGTTAGAGCCAGTCATTTCTGGAATACACTTTCTGTTGAGTTAAGGGTTATTACCATCTATTTAACGTTTAAATGCAAGTTAAAGAAATGGCTAAAAGCAAATCAAGTTTGTAATTGTGTAATTCTTTTCTCTAGATTTTTATGAAATTCTTATTATATGTTTTGTCTTTTTGGTGTATGTAACTCTACTGTTCCTGTATGTATAATAATGAGTTTACATACAATTTTTTAAATCTGGCAGATGGCAACGGATGAAAATTAGTCGTTGTGACTTTTTTACAGTTTTACTGTTAATTAATGAGCATTCTCATCTCATCTCATTTCGTTTTCATCCGCTTTTCTCGAGCCGTGTAGCAGGGGCAGCTGTCTTATAGGAGAGAGCCCCAGAATTTCCTCTCCCCAGACACTTCCTCCAGCTCCTCCAGGGGGATCCCAGGCCATCCTAGAGACATGGTCCCTCCAGCTTGTCCTGGGTCTTCCTCAAGGCCTCCTCTCGGTGAGACATGCATGGAACACCTTCAGGAGGCATCCGAAACAGATGCCCAAACCACCTCAGTTGACTTCTCTCGATGTGGAGGAGCAGCAGCTCTACTCTGAGCTTCTCTCGGATGACAGAGCTCCTCACCCTATCTATAAGGGTACAATTTGCCACCCTGTAAAGGAAACTCATTTTAGCCGCTTATATCCGAGATCTTGTCCTTTCGGGCATGACTTGAAGCTCATGACCATAGGTGAGAGTAGGACTGTAAATTGACCAGTAAATCAAGAGCTTTGCCTTTCGGATCAGCTCATTCTTTACCACAACAGACTGCTACATTGACCACATTACTGCTGCCGCGGCACCAATCCGCCTTTCAATCTCATGCTCAATCCTTCCCTCACTCGTGAACAAAACCCCAAGATACTTGAACTCCTCCACCTGGGGTAAGGACTTTCCTCTAACCTGGAGATGGCAAACCACCTTTTTCCGTTGGAGCACCATGGCCTCTGACTTGTATCCCAGATACCTCTGTACCATTGTCCCTGTTAAATGAAAAACAATAATTATAAGGTGTTATTAATTGTTGTTATGCAGTTTCTAGGGTGTTCTGGTGGGTTGTTAGAGTGTCCATGATGGTTGCCCGGGTCAATACTAGTGTTTTCTGGGGAGTTGCAACATGGTTGGTGTTATGGTTGATGCTATGCAGTTGCTAGGGTATTCTGAGTGGTTAATAGTATGTTATTATGAATTGCTATGGTGTTTCTGTGTGGACTCTATGGAAATCTAGTGTGGTTATTAGAGTTTTGCTATGCTTTAAATCATATAATGGATAAATATATTACTATGAAGAGGAAGTAAAATTGTACTGTGCAATTTGTAGATCTTACTAAGTTTGCATTGATTTTTAAAAATACAGTGATAAAAACTGAAATGCTACATTTACTGGCGACATTTTTAAGGGTTTTAAAAATTCCTAAAATGTTTTAAATTTCAAAAATAAAATTTAAGGCCTTAAAAAGGCTTAAATTCACTGAAATATCGAATTGTAGGTCTTAAATCATTTCAAATGGGTATTAATTTTCCAATGTCCATGTAAAGCTCCCCAACCAGGCCAACACCTACTGTATATACAATATAGTCACCAGCAACACAACTCAATAAAACTTTTAACAAAACTCTATTTAAAACTCAATACGGGTCCTCACATTAACATTTGTAAGCTCTCCATGTGTTTGTAGATCCTATGTGGTGAGGACACTGACCTGGAAAAACTGTTGTACATTTAGTTTATTAAAGTTGTTAAAGCTTATTAAAGAAAAGTATACATGGTTTGCTTGTTTCGACAAAATTTTTAAGTATTGTTTAATTGATTTCTAAATTTTTTTATGGGGCCAGTAAAAACCCTTACGGTTTAGCCCTGTAAAAGTCGGGAATTTCATTATTAATGGTCTTAAAAAGGTATTTGAGAACTCTTACAATTTACTTGGTGAGACCCACAGAAACCCTGTATTACAATTTTACTAAAAAGATTCTACTGTAAAACATCACCTACATTACAGTGTAGGCAAACACTTGTACATTTCTTTACAGTTTGTATAAAGATGTCCTTTCTTCCATAGAATGTCACTGAATCTTCATACACAGTTGAACAGTTGGAACCTTACACCTACTATACGTTCAGGGTCTGGGCTGTGATAGCAGAAACACAAGCTTGTTCTCCAGCAAGCCCTTGGTACCAAACCAAACCTTTTGGATGTAAGAAATCAACAGTAGATAAGCAACAGTCTTTTTACATTATTTACAGTATCAGTATTTTAAAGCCGATTAATGTGTTTCTCTTGAAAGTGCCTTCTAGTCCATCCATCGAGAATGTTGAGAGCATCTCTGGAGAAAGTGTGGAGGTTCGCTGGACTCCACCTGAGAAACCACGAGGACCAATCTTGGGATTTAACCTCAACCTCACATCCAATAAACACAAGATCAGTGCAGCAACCGGAGGAAATGTTTTCTCCAACACATTCTACCCAACATTCCATAACACTACATACAGGTAATGCAGACCCATTTACTGGTTTCTGCACTTTTACTTGAAACCCATAGAACTATACTGTGGCAGTTTAATGTTACTGATTGTGTATGTAAAAAGAACATAATAAAGTTCTAAAATAGTGATTTCATTATGTGTCTTATACAGGATCTCCATAGCTGCTGTAAATGAAGAGGGCCAGGGTTCAGTTGCTGAAGCTAGCATAACAACACCAGCACAAGTTGGTTAGTTAAGTGACATTTAATATTATGGTCTGACGTAATATGTTTGTTATTTATTATTATCACTTAAAATGAAAATATAATATAATGATAAAATGTAGGATAAAAAGGTACATTTTATTGCAAATATGGTGTACAGCCACAGCAGAATGAACCACCAACTATTCCGGCATATGTTTTAATTATCAAATGCTCTTCTAGACACAACCAAGTACTGGGTTGCAACTGCAAGGGCATCCGCTGTGTAAAACATATTCTGGAATAGTTGGTGGTTTAATCCACTGTGGTGACCCCTGATGAATAAAGGGACTAAGCCGAAGAAGAATGAATGCTTTATAGCTTTGTAAATATAGACTAAACATTATATTCAAAGTTTGGGGGACATTAAAATGCTTTATTAAATACTTTTTCTCATTAAATTGAAAAAAAGATAAAGGTACTGTACAGTGATTTATTATGTTAGTTTACCTTTTTTGATGCATATTAGTCAGAGAGTTACAGAATCAAATATAAAGAATCTGTGAGACATCAATTGTTCATCAAATGTAAATGATGTTCATCAGTGTAAAATGAGTTCATTTTCTTCCTATATGAATCAAACAGGACACATCATTTCTTGCATCAAATACAAAACACAAATAAAAGATATATATAATATTAATAAGATGAATAAACTAGCACTATAAATAAAACTAACACATATTGGGCTGTACTAGCAATACGAAAAAATTTATAAATACAAATATGCAAAAGATATAAATAAATAAAATACAATTATAAATATAAATACAATTTGAAAAACATGAATTTAAACATACATATTTTCTCGGTGCTCTTCATTTGTAACGAAACCAGGGGCAAGAAAAATAGGACAGTTATAGAATTTTTTTTCTTTTTTCCTCTGCCATTTTGTCAAATCTTTTATTATTTATTTATTTTATTAAACGTGACAGCAAGGGTTGCCAAATACTGTACATTTTTCATTATTACCACAAACTGTATATCTAATCTTTTCTATTTGAATAGACTGCATCAGATTTTTTTATTTTTTGTTTCAAATAAGATTTTTGACATTTCTATTCATTATAGAATCATAAAAAAACTATTTGCAAAAAAATATATGTTCATTTTCTACACTGATGATAGTTATAAAAGTATTTCTTGATCATCATACCAACATGATGGAATGATTTCTGAAGGCACTGAAACACTGAAACAACAGTTTTCAATCACAGGAATAAACCAAAGCAATACTAGTTTAACTGTACAATAAAAAAATTATACCAACCTTAATTTTTTTTAATTATAAATGACAAAAACATATTTGTTGCCATTGAAACTAGCTTAAAATCTGAGGATGTTGATCCATAAACCTGTCCTATACCTGACGAAATCAATCTAAGCTTCATGCAACTGCTGTACTTTACCATTGTGCGTTAACGCTTCTCAATGCACAGTGATTGCATTGACTTACAATAAACAACAATCATATCATCACTTCATTTGTGCTGGCTTCCAGGGCAGGACGGAGGCCGCTGGGTCTTTGCATCCAGATGGAGCTCTTTAAGGATGAGAGAAGAGGATGCCGATTTCTTCACAACAGCACAGTGTCTCTCAGACAGTCGAATCGAGGGCAACATCACAGGTCCATTCTTCCTCTAATCAATAACATCTCCACCACACAAGAGTGCTCGTAGGAAAGACAAATCACGAATGAGAGCACTTCAATACCTCAGGTGTTTCTCTTACACGGAGAGGCAGAATCTCTTAAATGGAGAGCAAATTTGTCTCCTGAGAAAAAGCAGCAGTAAAGTCAAATTTATTCTCTAATTATCTCGACACCAAGTTATACAACACGTTATTTATCTTTTTAGCTCGATGCTTTGTCACTAAAGTTGATTTAAATTTAAATTAGAAAAAAGGCCACCTTTTATCATGAAGAGTTTACTGTTGCCTAGAGTTGCACTGACAGGATGTTTTTTTTGGCTGATACTGATAAAGATTTTAACAAAATTAAAACTTTCTGTAGACTTTAATACGTATATTGGTCAATTGGATACAGTATTATACAGTGTTATCTAGATTTTCAAGAGGGGTCTGGATGCAGACCTGGTGCAGTTGCAGTCTGAGCTGCATGCAATGATTTTTAATGTGCACACCTAACCATACCCCTCACAGTGGCATCACTAGCTCCATTGAGTTCATTGTGTCTGACATTGCAAGTCCGAGACTTGCAGTTTCAGCTTGCACAATTTTCTGCATTAAGTGAATTGTACTGAACAAGGACTGGGTCCAAAAGCAAACAAAAAGTGCTCAGGGGTAGCTTAAATAATGTGTTTGTGCTCTTTGGCTAAGGGATTCATCAGAATAAACAGTAAAAATCAGTCCAAGGCACTCAACAAATGTGGAAAAAATATTAAAAAGCCTTTATTCACATGGCTAATCCTTAAAAGCTGCACCTAGTAATCATGCGCGTCTGGGGTTTCTTTTGAATGGTAGTCTCATGACTCATTAGATTATTGAAACAGTACTAATATATTATATATTTAACACAAGGTCTTCATTAAAAAATTAAAATCATCAAAAATTAAATAATTAAAACAATTTTATATATATATATATATATAGATGATGTGTGTTATACAACTTATCTTTCAAATAATACAACATAGATATATAGAATGAAACCACAAAAATGTATATATAGATAATTAAACAAGTATAGTGTACAAATAACTGCACACAAACATGCATGTACATTTACAGTTGAAGTCAGAATTATTAGCCCCCCTGAATTATTATCCCTCCTGTTTATTTTTTCCCCAATTTCTGTTTAACAGAGAGATGTTTTCAACACATTTCTAAACATAATAGTTTTAATAACTCATTTATAATAACTGATTTATTTTATCTTTGCCATGATGACAATGAATAATATTTGACTAGATATTTTTCAAGACACTTCTGTACAGTTTAAAGTGACATTTAAATGCTTAACTTAATTAGGTTAACTAGGCAGGTTAGGGTAATTAGGCAAGTTATTGTATAATGATGGTTTGCTCTGTAGACTATCAAAAAAAAAAAATAGCTTAAAGGGGCTTGTCGAAATAAAACAAATAAGACTTTCTCCAGAAGAAAAAATATTATCAGACATACTGTGAAAATTTCCTTGATTTGTTATAAAAAAATAATTCGAAGGGAGCTATTAATTTTGACTTCAACTGTACTTATACTCAAAAGAACTTCAAAAGAAACTCTAGACGCACCTGATCACTGTTACCCTGATGAAGGCAGTTCTCTGCTGAAATGCGTAGGTGCTGTTTTTAAGGATTAGCCATGGTAATAAAAGCTTTTTAATATTTTTTAAAACATTTTTCGAGTGCCAATAAGGTCCAATTAACATTCAGCTGTATAAAGTTGTAAGAAAAGATCAAGTTTAGATGAAAAATTGCTATATGAATTTCCCTACAAGAGATTTTTGATTTCTTTATGTGTGAGATATGTAACTCTCAACATTTTATAGCAGGATCTGATAAAATATAAATACTTATAATTGTGAGCAATATTGCATCTGGTGACAACAGCACCTATTTACAGCACCTTTACGTCCTTTTGTTTATATGTTGTCATTTGAAAGTTCATTAATTCATTTTTTTTTTTGTCGGCTTAGTCCCTTTATTAATTATGGGTCGCCACAGCGGAATGAACCGCCAACTTATCCAGCACGTTTTACGCAGCAGCTCCAACCCATCACTGGAAAAGTCATTTGAAAGTGTTTTTAGTTAAATACAATATGACAATCTTTAAAAGTTTTTTTCCATTCAGTATTTTTTGAACAACATTAATATTTGACATTGTAGGACTTATTTATTTAATGAACTTAATAAAGCCTAAACTAAATAAGTTGCTTTATGTAAATTGTACATTTTGCTTATCCAGAAAAATATTGACTCACTTTCTTATATTTTCCAAGACGTTTTAGCCCACACTAAGCAATGGTTTTAGCTCTATATGACAGTGCTTGAGCATGGTGCAGACTAGATGATTTTACGATACACGTCAGACATTTTGTACATGTTAGATGCAGGTCTGATTTTATTTTATTTCTGCTCAGTAAAACATTGGATTATTCCAAAAATATGCAATGCATTACCTCCATATCATTAATAAACCACTGGTATCTGTCTTTTTCATATTATTGCCAGTATGCTGGTAGCTATATATGAATCCAATATTGGTCGATAAATATCAGTGCCCGATACATTGGTGCACCCCTGCTTTTGACAAGTTGATTGCTTGATTCTGATTGGCTAATGAACATTCCTGAGTTAAGTATGATCAGAAAACCCATCCATACAAGGTGTGCAATTCTTTTCAAATAAAAGCAGAGCTAAAGTAGTTCCTGGCAGGTCTTCAACACATTACAGTTCCATATCACTATACAGTCTATGACTATGAAAAAGGACGACGCAGAGGCGCAGTAGGTAGTGCTGTCGCCTCACAGCAAAAAAGTCGCTGGTTTGAGCCCCGGCTGGGTCAATTGGCGTTTCTGTGTGGAGTTTGCATGTTCTCCCTACATTTGCGTGGGTTTAAAAGTGAATTGGGTAGACTAAATTGTCCGGAGTGCATGAGTGTGTATGGTTGTTTCCCAGAGATGGGTTGCAGCTGGAAGGGCATCCGCTGCATAAAAAAATGTGCTGGATAAGTTGGCGGTTCATTCCGCTGTGGTGACCCCAGATTAATAAAGGGACTAAGCCGAAAAGAAAATGTATGAATTACTTTAAAAAAACAAAATAAAAGGCTTTTGATGAGATATTTAAGAAACTAGTCATACACACAGGAGCTGTTTCAGGACAAAAACCTGACAAATGTCTTAAAGTACAACATCTAAACTTTGTCTTTAGTAGTATAAGTGGAATAAATCACTCATTGAAATAATATATAAAATAAATAATGCATACTAGCTTCACGCCTGACCTCATTTCAACCTTAAGTGTACAATCAATTTTTGACGAATTCAGTGCCTTGTTTTTAATTATTCCATATTTACAGTGAACAATACTTGCTTATTGACTTTATAATGTAATGTTTTTTACAGGGGTGGCCGTGCATTACAATTCCAACCATGTCTACTTCTCAGAGGGGTCTCGTATCTGGGTGAAAGGGGCTGGGAATCTCACTGACCACTCAGATCTCAAACTTCTGCACACTGCCCCGCTGGAGGTCACAGCGTTGACTGTAGACTGGCTTTATCTGAGGATTTACTATGCTTCTGGTGGCAGGGTGTGTATTTGCTGTTCATTTCAATAGCTTGCACCAGTACAAACCTTTATATAGTGACACAAAACTACTTTTGGGAATTAATTTAATTCTTCTGGATTCTATAGCACTTTTACAATGTAGATTATGTCAAAATAGCTTAATATAGATGAACAGATGTTCATTAAAAAGCCATTACAGCCATTTACTTAAAGTATGCAGTGAAGCACAATGGATACAGGGATTTTGGCTGTTCACCTTATTGTACATGTATGTATTGACCTTATTCTGCACTGCAGAAGTGCGCTTGTTTTTACTATTGTTTTAGAACTTCCGATTCAGTCGCCTGTGGGAGAAATAACTAGGAATAATAAACCACAGAAAATGGTCAAACTACTTTCCCTACGAACAAGTGTGTTCATGACTACACAAAATAAAGAAGAATATAATAAGAAAGTATCAGTTTGCAACATCATACAGCATAGCGAGCTGTTTTTAATGTCTAAAAATCAATGGAAGTGGATGAGCCAAATGTCTTGAGCCAGTAATTTTCCAATGGCGGGCCAAAGGAATTTCACAAATCATTAGAGGAGAGTACTTAACTGAATTATGCGATGACATTTACTCAGGTTTGCAGTAGCCGGTATTCGTATAATTTAGATCCCCCCACCCGAAAGCATGTCTTAGCCCATTTCGTTCCTGCATTGTTAGTAGACTCCACACTCTTGATTATCATTGGCTCTGCTTTTTTTACAATCAAATTTGTTGCACATTATGGCAACGAATTGCAGCATCTCTCTTCTTTAATTGCCAGTAGAGAATTTTCCACATCTATCTTCACTTTATTGGGAGAATTATGTGTTATTTGAATTTTTTCTGATAATTTGGTCCCAAATATCATAGTTTATACACTATATAAATCATATAATGTAATGTAATGTGAATATTTATATAGTGCATTTATTGTGTATGGCCATACTCCCAAAGCGCTTTTCAATTATGCCCTCACCACACACCAGCTATTGATAGAGCCAATTCAGTGGATAGGTATGATTAGGAGGCCATGATGGGTAAGGGCCAATGGAGGAAATTTGGCCAGGACATTGGAGTTACACCCTATACTCTTTATGAGAAGGGCCATGGGATTTTTAATGACCACAGAGAGTCAGGACCTCGGTTTAACGTCTCATCCGAAAGATGGAGAGCCGGAGAGTCTCATCTCAAAACCGTTTATGAACATATTTAAATGTTCTGGTACTTCTTGCTCCACAGACTCCCGTTGTAATTACTTTTGGCAGTTATACGTTTCCAGTTTAATATTTAACTTTAAAAAGAGCTTAAAATGGCAATTTAGTCAACTGTTATGATTAAATATACTGTATAATGAATATAATATGATATTAATATAATATATACATTTTAAATCATTATTTAAATCATTCTGGATGCCATGTCCCATAAACTCTCATTGTAATTGCATTTCCATTGGAAGAATGTGTATTTGTTGTTAATTAGGAACTACAATGACATTTTAGACAGCATACAGCAAATTTTATATATGTTTATGCTGAAAATAAATATGAGTAGCTTGAAAAGTCATTACCCTATATAATTTTATTGTAATTATAATTGGTAATGGTAGAATTTTTATAGACCTTTGTCAGAAAAAACAAACTTCAACCATACATTGCCTTAATAATACATTCTCTTTCCTACAAATGCAGATTCACTATTGTGGATTAGATGACTGTTTGTCTCCAGTGGATACGAACGTCAACCTTTCTAGTGATGCTGTAAATATAATCGCAGATCCATATAACGGGTGAGTGTAATAAACATAATTAAACAATAGTTGGTTGGTTAACCACTGTGTTTGCTTTTATATTAAGCTATAAAACATTGCATTATAAATTTGATACTGTAATTTTTATTGTTACTAATAAAACTAGGAGGAAAATATTCCATTAGAGGCATTAAAGAACTTCGCTTATCATTTGATTAGCTTGACTAATTAAAGAAAAGCGTAATTTAATATAACTGACAAATTGTGCTTGTCAGATGGCTGTACATGTTGCTGAGCACTGGGATATATCGCAGTCCTCTTCCAGACGTCTCTAGCCAACAACAAGAGATAAGTCACATCATTAAAATGCCTTCTGTCTCCAACTTTGTGGTCAGTTTTCCTAATAAGAGAATTGTTTATCATGACAGAAGTGATCAAACGCTCAACGCCACATCTCTGGATGGATTATTTCCCATTACTCTGTACACAAATGTTAACTTTGAAGCAAACAGTATCGTTTATGAGGACAATTTCTTCATGCTCACCAATGGATATGCAGTGTATAAACAAGTCGGCCAGAGTCAAGTGCCCACTTTTTTTGAATTTGCTATGGACTGTGATATCATCCATAGTGAAAATGGTGGATTTGATAATCTGTGCTACTTTAGCACATCTGCGCAACTGTATCCTGTGCCAAGAAAGCCAAAAGACCTTCAAGTCCTGTTTGGATCAGATAAAGCTTATGTCTATTGGAATAAACCTGAAAGTATGATGGGAGCAAGTGAGTGATGCATGTTAATAGCATTCTTAGATTGATTTATGAGTTTTTTTCATAATCATCAATTCATGTTTATTGTTTTAGATTTAGTTTCTTACTCAATGAAATTACACTGGTTGCCTAATCCCACATAAAAAGTTTTATATGGCAATATTTGCAAATATATATGACATAAAAGTTAATATTTGGATCTCATCTATATAAAATACTGTATATGCAACATACATTTTAAAATATTACAAAAATGGATGTTTCATATGAAATATGTCATATTTTCACCAAATATTACCAAACAATGGCAGTTATATATATATATATATATATATATATATATATATATATATATATATATATATATATATATATATATATATATATATATATATATATATATAGTTGTTTCCAACAATAAGGATTTCAAATATTTACATATATGTAAAATAATAATGTATATCTGTGGCCATATATAAACATATTTTACAATACACTCACTGGCCACTTTATTAGGTACATCTTACTAGTACTCAGTTGGACCCCCTTTTTGCCTTCAGAACTGCCTTAATTCTTCATGGCATAGATTCAAAAAGGTACTGGTAATATTCCTCAGAGATTTTAGTTCATACTGACATGAGAGTATCACACAGTTGCTGCAGATTTGTCCGCTGCACATCCATGATGCAAATGTTCCGTTTCACCACATCCCAAAGGTGCTCTATTGGATTGAGCTCTGGTGACTGTGGAGGCCATTTGAGTACAGTGAACTCATTGTCATGTTCAAGAAACCAGTCTGAGATGATTCACACTTTATGACATGGTGCGTTATTCTGCTGGAAGTAGCCATCAGAAGATGAGTACGCTGTGTTCATAAAGGGATGGACATGGTCAGGAACTATACTCAGGTAGGCTGTGGCGATGACACATTGCTTAATTGGTACTAATGGGCCCAAAGTGTGCCAAGAAAATTACCCCCATCCATTACACCACCACCAACAGCCTGAACTGTTGATAAATGGTCTTGACGCCAAATTCTGACCCTACCAATCAAATGTTGCAGCAGAAACCAAGACTCATCAGACCAGGCAACATTTTTCTGCTTCTGCTGCTCTTCCATCCACCTCGAGGTTGGAAGAGTTCTGCATTCAGAGATGCTTTTCTGCAAACCTCGGTTGTAACGAGTGGTTATTTGAGTTAGTGTTGCCTTTCTATCAGCTGGAACCAGTCTGGCCATTCTCCTCTGACCTCTGGCCTCAACAAGGCATTTGCGCTCACAGAACTGCTGCTCACTGGATATTTTCTCTTATCCCTAGAGATGGTTGTGCGTGAAAAATCCCTGTAGATCAGCAGTTCTACTGCTGGTTCTAAAATACTCAGACCAGCCCGTCTGGCACCAACAACTGTGCCACGTTCAAACTCACCTAAATCACCTTTCTTCCCCATTCTGATCATCTTGACCATGTCTATATGCCTAAATGCATTGAGTTGCTGCCATTTGATTGGCTAATTATAAATGTGCGTTAACGTGCAGTTGGATAGGTGTACCTAATAAAGTGGCCGGGGAGTGTAGAAAATTTTAGAAAATCCAGTGGTTTGAAATAATTTATGAAACTGCCAATTTTAATCATATTTAGTGCAAATATGACATATATTTCATCTATATGAAATCCATATCCCTGCGTTCGCGTGGGTTTCCTCCAGGTGCTCCGATTTCTCCCACAGTCCAAAGACATGCGGTACAGGTGAATTGGGTAAGCTAAATTGTCCGTAGTCTATGAGTGTGAATGAGTGTGTGTGGATGTTTCCCAGAGATGGGTTGCGGCTGGAAGGGCATCCGTTGCGTAAAAATGTGCTGGATAAGTTGGCGGTTTACACCACTGTGGCGACCCCGGACTATAAAGGGACTAAGCCGAAAAGAAAATGAATGAATGAATAAATGAATGAAATCCATATATGAACTTGTGTGGCATGTTATGTAATTTACATATATTTTCATATTACATATTTATGTTTCAGATTTTGATTTTGTTCCTGACAGGTCCATCTGCCTGGCAAAACTGGACTTATGCTATAAACTGCACAATGAATGGTCTGGTGGTGATGAGTATTAGAGAAGTAACCAGCACATATGCGACTGTCCCAGATCTGCAGAGTTCACAGCACTATAATGTGACAGTCAGGGCTTGTTCTCCTGGAGGATGTTCCAGATCATTGTCATATGAAGGAACCACTCTTCATCCTGGTGATTAAGCTGAGGCATTGTATCATACAATTAACTTAATGTTTAGGAGCTGAGTGCTATGATGTAAAAAGCCTTGTCCTTTCAGCTGATGAGCCCCCATACATTGCTGCTGCCAGTGATGGTGACATATTGAAGCAAGATTTGGATAACATTGAATTTATGGAACAAATTGTGTCTTTGATTGGAGATGTGAAAGGTAAGAAACCAGAGACTCATACCCCTGTCAAATTCTGACTTCCTTAACAAAAATCTCCCCCCCTAGCTGTTAAATAAAATACATTCCACTTGTTTTGATCGATAATAAATATGAATAATATTAAATGTACATGCATAATAAATACCTTTATTATAAATGGTATATATACCATTTTCTACATTACATATACATATGAGAAAGAGTGAGACCCCGATATTGTATTTTTTTCTGTGTTGGGGAACAGACATGGACTGGTATAATTCTACAATCTACTGGACTAACAGTTCTGGCCACATTAACTGGTTTGATCTGAATAATCGGTCTTTGAGTGTGATGACGATGCCCTCAACACCAGTGCATGCTGAAGCTCTGGCCTTTGACTGGCTGGGACAGTACCTGTACTGGAGCTGCAACACAAATCAAGTGTGTTTTTATATTGGATTATGAATAAATAATTATTATTATTGAATAAATAACATGTGGAAGACAAAATAGAACCTATTAAAGCATAAATGCATTATTGAATATGTAGCAGTAGCGTGAACTTATTATGGAACAACTCTGATCAGATATGCCGAGGGTCTACATCTGGTCAGGCAGTTGAGATATTTCTCCAGGCAGACCAGAAGATTCTCAGTCTGGTCATCGATTCATTGAATGCTGCCATCTACTGGACCACTGAAACATCAGTAGAGGCCTGTAGACTGGATGGAGAAGGTTTCCAGCTCCTGGATAAACTGAGTGTGTTCTCTGGCAAAGAGGTAAAGACATAAATATCGAGAGGGTGCTCGCTGCAGAGCCATTTGAGGAGAGCTGAGCTCCAGCGAGGGGGAGCATGAGCTGTCGCTCCTCCTCCTGTAAGCTGTTTTAATGCGTACACCAACCCCACCCCTAACCCTACCCCTACCCCCAGTGACATCACTCGTAGAAGAAGTGCAAAAAAGGTGGAGCTCAAGCTTAAGCTCCCCCTCGCTGGAGCTCAGCTCTCCTCAAATGGCTCTGCAGCGAGCACCACTTGTAAATATCTGAAATGTATATCCCATTTAAAGGTTGTTTATGTTTTTAAATAAGTCTCTCTTGCTCATTAAGGCTGTGAAACATTGAGTAAAATGCTTTTTTCTCAGTTTGAAATAACTATTATTTTAGTAATATTTTACATTTCATGTGACAGTAAAGCAGATTTTATTTCAGTCTTCAGTCTCTTATATGTCCATTAAAATAACAGCATTTGGTTTTAATAGAAATATTTGGTATTTTAGTCCTTGCGGTAACTTTTTATAAAGTGTAGTGCATGTTTAATATGTTTTTATGAGTTTAATGCATCTCCGAACCATAAAAGTAAAAAAAAAATTGTGTGTGTGTGTGTGTGTGTGTGTGTGTGTGTTTGTCTGAAGTATTAGCCTCCCTTTTTATTTTTTTCCTCAATTTCTGTTTAACAGAAGATTTTTTCAACACATTTCTAAACATAATAGTTTTAACAACTCATCTCTAATAACTGATTAATTTTATCTTTGTCATGATGACAGTAAATAATATTTTTCAAAACACTTCTATACAGCTTAAAGTGACATTTAAAGGCTTACCTAGGTTAATTAGGTGAACTAGGCAGTCTAGGGTAATTAGGCAAGTTATTGTGTTATTGTATAACAATAATTTTTTTGTGTAGATTTTCGCAAAATATATAGCTTGAAGGGGCCAATAATTTTGACCTTATAATGACCTTATAATATATTTATATATATATATATATATATATATATATATAAATGTGTGTGTGTGTGTGTGTGTGTGTGTGTGTGTGTGTGTGTGTGTGTAATCTAGGTTGCTGGTGTCACTTTAAACATGATTGAAGGAAATCTGTACTGGTTGGTTCAGGACGGCTCTCTGCTGAATCTCTACAGAGTGAATATCAGTGGTGACAGGTTGGTCCTTAAACAAATCATTAATGAGATGATCAATGTTTCTCTCTTTGAAAAATTTAAACATTTTTTTTAACTGATTTGTGTAAATTTGTCTGTATTTTCTGTACATGTAAAGGATGCAAAAATCCAAAGCAGTAGAATTTGCAAAATGGACCACATCTCAAATCTTCGATCATCAAGTTAGCTACTACAGTGAACGACTTGTTTGGCTGGATGAAAACAAACAGCTCAGGATTCAAGAGTTGAACCAAAACAACAGTGTCCTTATGTCTTCCAATAATACACTGACAGCCTTTTCTGTTGTACAGAAAATGCTGAAGCCCCTTCCAGGTCAGAGCTGTGTTAAAGGAATAGTTCACCAAAAAATGAAAATCTACTCACTACTTAACTCTCCTTCAAGTGCTTTCAATACTTTAACCCGATCGTTGACTTTAAGGTCAAATATTACTTTTGAACATTTTGACATAAAAACCTACATGTTTTTTTTTTATCTTAAGGTTAAATGACATTTCTAAAACAACATCAACATTGGAAAAAGATTAACCATTGAATATTGGTTAAATAAATTCCATTAGAAAAGGCAGAGTTTACACACACTATTATTTATGTGATAAAGGGAGCTTGATTGAATATAAGCTAAAAATATAATGTTTTGAGTTCTGTTTATCTCTTATATTAGAAGTTCAAGGGAGTCACTTTAATGGTAGTATGCTTATATGTAAGCAGCACTGTTTCTGGAAGTTTCTCCTTTTGTGATACAAAAAAAGAAAGGAAAGCAACTGTAAATAATGTACTTCTACATCTAATGTAAATCTAAATTTTTGAGTGAACTGTCTTTTCATATTGCACTACATGTATAGTAGTTCATATTCCTCGATGTATCATTCTTGCAAGCTTTCTAATAATTAATAATGTCTTTGTGTTTGTGTAACAGATGGATTTGTATCTCCTCCTGTGGTTATTCCACCTGCAGTTTCCAAAATTGTCCTCGTAGGCAATGCTTCCTTTTTCCAGATCCATTGGGAACCCAGCAGTGTTGATTATGGAACTGTGTTTTATTGTGTGGTGTCAAAGGAGGTGTGGAAAAATTTGGATCCACTTCCAAATGTAGGACATTTTTTTATGTAAATCGTAAATTTTCCCGTTGACACTTTCCTCGTATAAAATATACTCGTGATTTATTTCCTACACATTTCTGCAGATGTTCCCGACCAGATATTGTCATCCTGTTAATACGTTCACAGAGACAGTCATAAATGTCACAAGATTTAAACCAGGGGCTGAATTAAACATCACCATAACCCCTTTTTCATACTGGGGTAAAGGGAAATCAACAGAAACTATTCTCATTACTCCAGGTAAGCATGCTGCAACATCAAATATAAAGTTTTAAAAACTTAACATTTAAAGCTACTGTATGTAAGTAATAATTCATAGTTTTATAAGTACCATAAAATGTTTGTAGCTATTTAAGAAACGTGCTAAGTGAACATTCTTGTTTATCTGAAAGAAAATGCTCAATTATTCTGCTTTGAAAATTTGAGGTACGTGCCGGAATGGTGGTGTTTGTTTTAGGTTCTTTTAACCCCCCCACTTCCACTTTAGCCAATTATATTTGAGCAACCCGGGTTGCCTTGATGTTAAACAGCGAATTTCATTCATTCATTTCAGCCTCTGAAATGACACGTAGATTCAGAGTTCCACACGAGGTGGTTACTAAATAGCAAATAATAATAATATTACAAATGTAAACATTAGGTGAGCAGGTTACATTGTAACCTCATGTCCTAACAACACGCAATGTGATGAGATTTGCATTGATAAGCAATTTGGCTGTTTTTACATGACAGAAATTTAAATACAGCCATTTAGAAGCACAGACTAGTGCACTGCGCTCCAGCGAAATAGTAAGGTTACAATCTATTTAATTCATATTAAAACTATTTAACATTATTAAATGTAGATGCTGAATCACTGATATGTGTTGGTTTGCACTGAGTCACAGTTCTAAAGTTCAATTTCAAACAATTTATTTTATTTTCAAGATCTGAGGTGAACTATTTGCTGTGTCTTTGTTCTCAGACACTAAATCTTCTCCCTATTAAACAGAAATTAGGTAAAAAAATAAAGCCATCAATAGCTGCCATCATTAGCCTCACACATTTTGTTTTCTTTTCTGAAAGTCTTTATAACACCATCGTGGAGTTTCTTTTTTATTGTTTCAGCAAATAGGATTGTAAAAAAAAACATTTGTTGTATTCTCCCATTCACTCTAAGTTTACCCAACCATGACACCTTCCGCAACTGAGAAACCCGGAAATCTGAAAAGGGTCTGTTTTTTTTTTTACCTGATTAAATAAAGAAACCTATATAAAAAGTATTATAAAGTCTTATATGCTGATTTACAAAGTATTTAATTTAGTATAATATTTTTATTATACAATGTATAGTAAAATTATAGTTAATTTAATCTGCGAATATTGGAATGCTGTGTAATTTACGCAATCGATACCGTCCTGATAGATTTTACATCACTCTGCTTTGTTTATGGCCTAAGGCAACAGCGTTATTTCTGCAGTTTTGTAGGCTCCACCTTCTGCATTAGCATTTTTATTCAGTATATGAATGATGTTTAAGTTTTAGATTAGTTTCTTACAGTCAGTGTTTAGTAAATATACTGCAAGTTAAATTGTCGCCAATGTTACCGGTTGAAACCAAAATGGTTATGAGGTCTTAAAATGTATGAGTCTTTAAAAAGGTCTGGTATTTAATTTCACTCTCCAATTGAGATATATATAATAAATATAATTTATATAATTTATATAATAAATTTCATTAAATTGAAGCAGATTAGCGCCACCTGCTGGGAAAATAACCCTTGTTGTGAACCATGATCAACAGGGATGTACTAAAATGAACAGGGAGGTTTGATCAGAACTCATCTTACTGGTAAAAACACATTGTTTTGCGTTTGTGTGCTGCATTTTCGCAGTCTAATAAACAAAGTGATTTTAATTGCGCTCTGGTTGTCAACCAGCAGGTACATCAGACACCGACAAGACACTGATTATTGCAATTGTATCAGTCGCCGTTGGTGTCACACTGATTATTCTCATCCTCGCAGTAGTCAGTAAGTAAATAAATGACAAAAAATCCTAAGATCAAAATTAACAAGAGAGTATGAAATTATATTTATTTCACCGAGTGTTTTGATGTAGTTTGGCAAAGACACCATAAGAAAAAGGATCATGGGAAAGCTAAACAACCATCCAGTGTGCAGATCCATCCAGACGTGGAGTTAGAGTATGTTCGAGGGTTAGTTGGGCTTGAGAATGGCTGCTTTGCTATCAGGTACATTACATACAAACTGAGGCTTTATTTGAATGGGATTTAGTGTGTTAATATTTAAACTATCTTCCCCAGTAACACACCCAGCCGAGCAGAGATCGAGTCGCTCCCTGTGTTTCCCAGAGACTGTCTGAAGCTGCAGAGGCTGTTGGGTAGTGGTGCTTTTGGAGAAGTTTATGAAGGAGTTACTGTTGGGAGCCAAATCAATGGAGTTGAGCCAGAGAGGAAAGTGGCCATCAAGGTAAACCTTAGTAAATGAATCGCGAACATTTTTCTCTAAATATATTTTTTAAATAAAGGTTCTTCATTGGCTTCAATGGTTATCCAAAAACGAACATTTACAGATAGACAATTTACTTGAAAATGTAGGTGACTTTTTTTCTTCATTAGAATTAAGTAAAGTTTATTTATAAACTAATTTCAAAGGATCACATGCTTATGATTGACCATGGGTGGACCCGCATTAACAATCTTATGATTCTCTAATTAGGTGTTTCCTACCTCACTTTAATTAAGTCTTCCTAGCAAAGTCATCTTCGTCTTGCAGAATCCTCCCTTCCTTTCCCATTCCTCCTCCTTCTTCCTAAATTGGGCAACATAGTGGCCCAGTACTTGCCTCACAGCAAGAACATCACTGTTTCTAATTCTTTCTTGGCCAGTCTGTCCATGAAACTGACCAAAAGACATGCTTCGAAAGTAAATTGACTAAACCAAATTGGCACCATAGTCAAGTTCTTAGCCAACAGTATTTCTCCCTCATAAAGCAATTCCTCATTAGCCACTAATAAGCGGGGGAGTTCTAGAGATCTACCTGAGCTCAAACTCCCCTCTCGCCCTACAAACAGGAGGGAGCCTCGGGCTCGAGGATCTTTTGAGCTCAGTGCTCTCTCTCGGGACAGCATGACAAACAAGCTTATAATCACTCATCAGCTAAGTGGGAACTCTTGAAAGAAGACCTTTATCTGAATTTGTGGTCCTTGGTAATTTGTTTAATAAAGATCTTTTTTTAAGAGTGGAAGGAGGGTTAATGAGATTATTAAAATGGAATGAAAGATTTTTTTTTTTTACTTTAATGTCTACTATAGCATTACTGTGGGAAAAAAGCTACTTGAAACCTTTTTTTAACATACATTCTTGATTGGAGAATATGAAGTATTTCCAGTTGCTCCTTATTGAAGTGTATGAAGCACAAATCAATCTCTTCACAGACTCTGCAGAAAGATGCCAGTGACTATGAGAAAACTGAATTCTTAAAAGAAGCTCATTTGATGAGGTGAAAGACATGTTTGCTCTCAGCATCACACTGAAAATATGATTATAATAGGGCACAATGTGGCAAAACAAATGATGATAATGAGGCGCCCTGGCTTGGAGCAAATGACAATGTTTGTTGCTGTTTAGTATTCTGGTAGACGATTCAAGTCTAAAATGTTACACTCATGTTTTATTCCATAATGACAACATTTCAAAATAAAAGGTTATCATTCGGATAATTTTAAAAAAAAAATTAATGTTTTGAGTTGGTTGGAATAGCAAATGATTTCATTTGTTGTTACTGAAAATAAGCAAGTGGTGCTCGCTGCAGAGCCATTTGAGGAGAGCTGAGCTCCAAGGAGGGGGAGCTTAAGTTTGACCTCCACCTTTTTTGCACTTCTTCTACGAGTGATTTCACTGGGGGTAGGGTTAGGGGTGGGGTTGGTGTACGCATTAAAACAGCTTACAGGAGGAGGAGCGACAGCTCATGCTCCCCCTCGCTGGAGCTCAGCTCTCCTCAAATGGCTCTGCAGCGAGCACCCTCTCAAAATAAGGGCTATTCCACCAAACAATAATACAACAACAAGAAAACATTGGTACTGTCTTGACTAAAAATGAATACAAAACATGGCGTATAGATGTGAGTAAAAATATGTTACAAGACCTTTAGAAATCATTCTGATATGCTGACTTGGTGCGAAAGAAATATATTAATATCAATGTTTAAATGCTTGATGGTACTGCAGAAAATAGAAGTTCATCCTAGTTTAAAAAAAAAAAAAACATTTTTATTGAAATTACCAACCTAAATTTTGTTAAATGATAGTTAATTGAACAAATTAAATGATTTCATTGTTTTGTTTGTGGCTCTCCAGTCAGTTTAATCATCCTAACATCCTGCGTCTGCTTGGAGTGTGTCTGCTGAACGAGCCACATTACCTCATACTTGAGCTGATGGAAGGAGGAGACCTTCGTTCTTACCTCAGAGGAGCTCGACCCACAAATGTGAGCCATTCTTTTGATGCATAGTCAGATAAAAATATCCACACACTTTCATTATTTCCCACATAATCACAGGCAATAAAATGAGTCAAGAACTTTAAGGTTCAAGAGTCAAACTCTTTCAGATCATCTTAGATAGAAATGGATTACTATTAACCAAAAATAATTACAGTATACAGTTGAAGTCAGAATTATTAGCCGCCCTGTTTATTTTTTCCCCAATTTCTGTTTAACAGACAGAAGATTTTTTCAACACATTTTGAAACATATTAGTTGTAATAACTCATTTTTAATAACTGATTTCTTTTATCCCGTTATTTAAATCACCTGTTTCAATCTTACTTCAGACATTACGCTATTGTTGCAGAATCATTCAAACACTAACTCTAAAATGACGTTGGTGAATTAGTAACGGCTTCTGCTGTTCTTACGTCAGCTGCAGATGTGAATGAATGGCGGAAGAAAGTAGTTACTCTTACAAAAGGGTTTTGAGGCTCTCTTTCTTTTTCATACACACAATTATGTCGTTGAACTGTTGTATAAATGCAATATCACATGAGTAGCAGTAAGTTATGGCTGTACATTGGCACTGGTGGGGGCACTAAGGCACTCTGCCTGCAGCCTTGTGCCAACGCACGCCTCCCACCAATGCTGATATACAGCCACATCGCACTGCTACTGGTGTGATATTGGTCATATATCACATTTGTTTTATTTGAATTTAAATGTATTATTTTTACGTCGTTACGGTTGTTCAGTGACTTATTTTGATGAATATAACTGGTTAATAAAACTTTTTTGTTTAAATGTACCGAAATATTTTGTCTATATTAATTAAAAATGGAAAAAATATATATTAATTTCCAATGGGGTGTAAACATTTTTGCTGGGCACTCCATGTCACAGTTTACTTTATTTTGCAAATGTATAAAGTGCAAATGTGCTTTATTCACTGGTGTCTAAATAATTTTAGCTGCATTTTCACTGATCTTTTGTTTCACAGAACCATAAAGAGCTACTGAGCCTCAGCAGCCTCCTGGACATCAGCTTGGATGCCGCCACTGGATGTGCTTATTTAGAAAGGATGCACTTTGTTCATAGGTATAACGATGTGCTCGTGTATTGCTGATGCATTCTCAGACAGTACAGAATGTACAGATAAAATGCCATGTGGATAAGTGTCTGCCAAATGTTAATGCATCTAAATAAGACTGAGTTGAATACTTTATGTACAGGGATATTGCAGCAAGGAACTGCTTGGTGTCAGTAAGAACTTACACAGACCCAGAAAGGGTTGTTAAAATCGGAGACTTCGGATTGGCTCGTGATGTGTATAAGAACGACTACTACAGGAAGAAGGGTGAAGGTCTGCTTCCTGTTCGCTGGATGTCACCGGAGAGTTTAACGGATGGCATTTTCAATAAATATTCTGATGTCTGGTCAGTATTTATAATGCTATTTTTGCCAACCACTACTAAATGATGCGTTGAGGGTTCTATACAGACATACATGTGACCTTCTAATTGTTTTTTTTTTAATACACTCACTGGCCACTTTATTAGGTACACCTTACTAGTACCAGGTTGGACCCACTTTTTCTTTCAGAACTGCCTTGATCCTTCATGGCATAGATTCAACAAGGTACTGGAAATATTCCTGAGAGATTTTGGTCCATACTGACATGAGAACATCATGCAGTTGCTGCAGATTTGTCAGCTGCACATCCATGATGCAAATCTCCCGTTACGCTACATCCCAAAAGTGCTCTATTGGATTTATTGGATTGATGATTGTGGAGGCCATTATAGTACAGTGAACTCATTGTCATGTTCAGGAAACCAGTCTGAGATGATTCGCGCTTTATGAAATGTTGTGTTATCCTGCTGGAAGTAGCCATCAGAAGATGGGTACACTGTGGTCATAAAGGCATAGACATGGTCAGCAAGAAGGTCGCTGGTTCGAGCCTCGGCTGGGTCAGTTGGTTTTTCTGTGTAAAGTTTGCATGTTTTCCCCGTGTTGGCGTGGGTTTCCTCCGGGTGCTCCGGTTTCCCCCGCAAGTCCAAAAACATCTGCTATAGGTGAATTGGGTAGGCTAAATTGGCCATAGTGTGTGAATGAGTGTGTATGGATGTTTCCCAGTGATAGGTTGCAGCTGGAAGGGCATTCTATGCATAAAACAAATGCTGAATAAGTTGGCTGTTCATTCCGCTGTGGCGACCCACTTTTAATAAAGAGACTAAGCCGAAAATAAAATGAATGAATGAATGGAACTAGCCTCAGTTTTCTTGTTCTTAGCTGACAGGAGTGGCACCCGGTGTGGTATTCTGCTGCTGTAGCCCATCCGCCTCAAGGTTGGACGTGTTGTGCATTCAGAGATGCTCTTGTGCATACCTCAGTTGTAATGAGTCTTATTTGAGTCACTGTTGCCTTTCTGTCAGCTGGAACTAGTCTGGACATTCTCCTCTGGCATCAACAAGACAAAATTGCCGCTCACTGAATATTTTCTTTTTTCGGACCATTCTCTGTAAACCCTAGAGATGGTTGTGTGTAAAAATCCTAGTAGATCTGCAGTTTCTGAAATACTCAGACCAGCCCGTCTGGCACCAACAACCATGCCATGTTCAAAGTCACTTAAATCATCTTTCTTCCCCATTCTGATGCTCAGTTTGGACTGCAGCAGATTGTCGAGCAGTTGGACAGGTGTACCTAATAAAGGGGTCAGGGAGTGTATATCACATTTAATAACAACTGATGTTGACCAAAGTGCTTTACAAACTAATCAACACAAAAAAAACATACTTGCACGTGTAAACAAAATAAAATTAATTACAATTGATTGCACGAGAAAGAAGATGATTTTTAAATGAGATTTCCACAATTGCACAAAAATTTCCTTTAGGTTATTTTCACAATAAGGACAAATCACTAAAAACGTCTACAACAATGATTCTTTTATTGTATCAAAAATCCACAGTGGAACCTTAATTTTTGGGTCAAAGAAGAAAAGTGTTTACAAGCATCAACACAACAGTTATATACAGCTTTATTTTTATCACCCATACATTAGAATGCATCCTGTTTATTTTTATACGAAATTTACACATAAGACATCCACTAAAACGTCATTTAGTGTAACAATAATTATATACCTGTATAATCGTGTCATATTTAGTACTAAAAGTTATTTGATTGCATATTTGGACTCGTAAAAATAAATATTAATTGTCATTTAAAAAATTTTACGCAACAAATGTTAATTCCTTTAAATGTAGTAACATTTGGTGTGATCGCTTAATTTCATAGATATATATTAAAATGTACAGCTATACATCTAAAAATACAGCTCAGATTAGGTATGTCAGTTGATTTTATTATAAATATTTCTGTTACTCTAAATGACAACATGGAGCGGTATTCTTGCTCATGTGTTGACATTTTATTTCCACAAATGTTATTTGAAACATTAAAGTAAAGTCAGGCTTTATTGTCATTCCTCTACATGTGTGGACACACAGAGGAACGAAATGTCGTGTGTCGCAGCACAACGGTGCTACATAATTAACCATAAATACAAACAAAACACTGGACATAAGAGCTATTTTTAAAAAAAAAAAAGCATTTTCATACCTAACATATACTATAAGATACTTAATTATACACATTAGACTATGCAAGTACTTTTACATGAGACTGAAAAATGTTGTGAAGTATATTGTGCGAAAGAGTTATTTACGGTTGAAGCAAGCAGTGCAACATGATGGTACATTAGTAAACATGGTTTTCCTCGTTGAGTTCTTGTAAGATGGCGTTTAGATCAAGTGCATAAGAGAGAGAGTGTGTTTCTAAATTGGTTTGTCAAGCCCATACACCTGAATGATGCACAATTTGAAATGCACAGTGTTTCCAAGAGACATGGAGTGATTTAGGAAAGTGTCTATAGTGCAAATGTGTAGCCTGGTGCAAGAGTCCGAGATATGAGAGGGTGTCTTTCTACAGGTGGTTTGTTAAGCACACTCACCTGTATGGCACATACACAGGAATTAATGGGGCGGGTAGAAGAGATTTCATAGGGGGATAAATTGACTGGAATTCAGGGTTTTAACAGCCTGTGGGAAGAAGCTGTTGAGTAGTCTAGCCGAGCAGGACTTTTTTTATATAGAGCGGGGCAAAGATTAATCACGATTATTTGCATCCAAAATAAAAGTTAGTTTTGACATAATATATGTGTATGTACTGTTTATATTTATTATGTAAATATAAAAACACACATGCAGGCATGTTTTTGAGAAATTATTTTTTATATTTAGATAAAAAAGTACTGTATATGTGTTCTGTATAAGAGACAAATTATATATACATTTAAAATATCCAGGCAACAAAGTAGTTTTGTTATTATGTATGTGTTTGTATCACGTATACATCGCAAATATAAATAATACACACAAATATTTTATGCTGGATAAATTTGGTTATAAAAACCTATGCTGGATAAGTTGGTTGTTCATTCCATTGTGGAGACCTCTAATGAAAACAGGGACTAAGCTGAAGGAAAATGAATGAATTAAATATATTAAGTCAGGACAAACTATTTGTTTGCATGCGATTAATTTTTGCCCAGCACTCATTCTTAATGTATTTAAAGTATTTTGTAAATTCAGTACAAAATGTGATGTATAAATATATTTTCTTATGATTCACTCATTTTCAGGGCATTTGGTGTGCTCTTATGGGAGATTTTGACATTAGGAAAGCTTCCATATCCCACATACACCAATCATGAAGTCTTAAGCTACATCAGTACAGGAGGAAGACTGTCATCACCCGCAGGCTGTCCTCAGAGATTGTGAGTCACATTAGTAGATTCAGTTCAATTCAATTCAAGTTCATTTGTATATTTTCACAATAATTATCATTTTAAAGCAACTTTACAAAAGCTGCAAATTATTACATTACAGTCAAAATCAGAGAGAGGTAGGGTGTTGTGTATATATGGTGCACAATATACAGTTGAAGTCCGATTTATTAACACCCCTTTTATTTATTTATGCATTTTTTTATATTTCCCAAATGATGTTTAACAAAACAAGGAAATTTTCACAATATGTCTAATAATATTTTTTCTTCTGGAGAAAGTCTTATTTGTTTTATTTCTGCAAGAATAAAAGCAGTTTTTAATTTTTTAAACACCATTTTAAGGACACAATTATTAGCTCCTTTAAGCTATATTTTTTCGATAGTCTACAGAACAAACTATCTTTATACAATAACTTGCCTAATTACCATAACCTACCTAGTTAACCTAATTAACTAAGTTAAGGTTTTAAATGTCACTTTAAGCTGTATAGAAGTGTCTTGAAAAATATCTTGTAAAATATTATTTACTGTCATCATGGCAAAGATAAAATAAATCAGTGATTAGAAATGAGTTAATAAAACTATTATGTTTAGAAAAGTGTTGAAAAAATCTGCTCTCTTGTAAACAGAAATTGGGGGAAAAAAAAAAACAGGGGTCCTTATTATTCAAGGTGGCTAATAATTCTGACTTTAACTGTATGTACATAGTTAACCTGCAGTTATGCAAATTATAGTGTAAAAGAGTTAATGACTGTATATAAAATGCTTTAATTTAAGTGATCTGATCATAATTGACAATAATTAGGAATAATTAGTGTATTGTGCTCTCGTCAAAGTCCTCTTGACGTTGGAATGACTGCTACAATAGATTTGATAATAAAATCACATGCTGTTTTTTATTTGTAGGTATAACCTGATGATGAGCTGCTGGAGTAAACAACCAGCTGACAGGCCAAACTTCCAGTTCCTCGAGGAAACCATGAGGAAACTGAGGAATTATGAAGCCGATAAAAGAGCAAACCAGACTGATGGAGCAGATGGACATGTGAACCAAGCCTACCTGGGAGACGGTATGATCTTATATCGATATAATCAATGCAAATATAAACATATCATCAAACATATTAGCTTTATATCTTCATCTAAAAGATAATAAATGATGTATGCAGTTACACCTAAATCAAATATACATGTTTTTACACTTTTACAAGATATGTGCACTACCCTATCAAAATATTTGTTAATGTTTTATAATAAGCTTGTTCTGCTCACAAAGGCTGCATTTATTTCACTGAAAATACAGTAAAAAGTGTGAAATTGTTAAGTGTTATACGAAGTTTAAAATTCAATTCATTATTGTGGTTTAAAGCTGAATTGTACACATGATTAGTCTTCAGTGTTAAATCGCAGTAAATTGTTCAAGAGTGGAAGTAAATAAGTTTATAATGTGAGGACAAAATAAATAAAAGCTAATATTTTGATCTTTCTTGTTATCAAATAATCCTAAAAGTGAAATCTATCACAGTTTCCGCCATATTATGAAGCCAGAAAAACTAATTTCACAGGATGTCCGCAGGGTTTTAAAAAGTCAACACTGAAATATTGTCTTGTTTGTCTTAAATCATTTTCAACAGGTCTTCATTTTTCTTTGTTTTTGTAAATCTCTATTCATTCATTTATTTTCCTTCGGCTTAGTCCCTTTATTTATCAGGGGTCGCCACAGCGGAATGAACCACCAACTTATCCAGCATATATTTTACACAGAGAATGCCCTTACAGCTGCAACCCAGTCCTGGGAAACACCCATACACATACATTTGGCCAATTTAGTTTATTCAATTCACCAATACCACATGTCTTTGGACTGTGGGGTAAACTGGAGCACCTGCAGGAAACCCACACGAACATGGGCAGAATATGCAAACTCCACACAGATATGCCAACTGACAAAGCCGGGACTCAGACCAGCAACCTTCTAGCTGTGAGGCGACAGTGCTAACCATTGATCCACCATTTCGTCCAAACATATTTATAACTTATATTTTAACAGTCTGTTTTGCATATGTTTACTTCAATAACGTGATTCTGGTGATGCGCGAAATTCAGATGGAGGGCAGGAAGTAAAAAACTGAATGGGAGACAGAGAAAAGTCCATATAAATGAATTTTTTATTAGGTTTTTTTTGATATAACATACAATACCATACAAATATATAAAATGTGTACAAGTTCTTTACAATTTATACATTTGTTCATCAATTTTGAAAATAAGTGAATAATTCGACAACCAGTAAAAAAGTATAAAAATACTAAAAATAATAGTACAGAGCATAACAGAACAGATACAGTCATATTTCAAGTGAGGAAATGAAAATCTCCCACATATCTATTTCTTTGTAATCGTCATTTATTTTGGCCAACATTTTCTTGTATGATACATTCTCAATCATGGATTCCATCCAGAATTTAAGTGCAGGGCTTTGAATACCTTTCCAAAACCTCAGTATTATACATAGTGTTGTAGTAATGCCCATAGTTATAAGGGTGAACTCATCATTTGTAATATGTGGAACCTCAGTTTTGTCACCTAGAAGGCATATCCTGGGTGAGAGAGGGATATTAAATCCCAGACTACCTAATTGTCTTAACATAGATTTCCAAAAGGGTTAAGTCTTTGTACATTGCCATAATGCATGAAAGTATGCACCAATCTCATGTTTACATTTCCAGCATTTATTATCATTTAAGCGTCCCATTCTAAAAAGTCACTCTGGAGTGTAATAATACCTATGAAGTATCTTATACTGTACATATTTACCTCTTGCTTCTTTTATATATTTTCCACTGTGATAAAGATTTCTATCCCAGGTATCTTTATCTACATCACTACTAACATCTTTTTTTTATTATTATTCTTTGATTTTCACAGTTTTTAACACTAATTTGTGAACTAAATTTGTAAAATGTAGATGTTTTGGGAATTAGTAAAATGTTTTCAACATATTCCTATTCTGTACCTTGGGGACCTTTGTTTGAAAACAGTGTCTGATTTGTAAGTATTTCCAAAAATGATTTTGTCCTTCTAATTTATTTTTTTTTGTTTTCAACTCATCATATTAGTTCACCATTGTTGAATAAATCAAGTATGTAAATTGGTAATAAGAAGTAATTAGAAGTATGTAAAAGGTAATTAAAGTATGTATACCCTTTCTAAGCCAACAACCCCAAAATAGGGTCTTTTTTTACAATTTTGACAAAGCTATTATTCCATATTGAGAAACAGTGTTGAGATAAGTGAGAGATTTGGCATTTCCTATGAGCCAATTTCCAGACTTCCTTAGAATGAAGCAATATTGAGTTGGATTGGTTTTTTTAAGCTTCCATCTGTAATTTGTGATAGAGCCTCTAATGGTCGGGGGGGGGAGATAAGTTGTGTTTCTATTAAAAGTCTATATTTGTGCGATTTAAACCATATTTCAAAGGAGATATAAACAGAAAATAGACACACATGCTGGGAAAGAACCTTATATCATGAAGAGGGCCGACTTTTCTACTTAACTAAAATATATTTGCCTGTCATTGAGGCTGTACTGTATATACTATATAAGCCATTACGTTACATGAAAAAATACTATAGTAAATTCTGTAGTGTTTGAAAGCATACTATAGATAATTATATAAGTTGTAGTAGTTTTATTGTTGCTGTGGTACGACATAACTGGAGAAATAAACAAATTATTCAATGGGCTTCAGTTTCCTACACTACACCATCTTAATGCACCACCATTTACATTACCGTTATTTATTAGAGTTCATTAGTTTACTATGCTACAGTATTCTGTATCATTCATTAACAAAGGGGTGTACACATTATACACTTTACTATGTGCTTCAAAAACATGTTTATGAGGCACTGAAGACTGGAGTAATGATGATGAAAATTCAGCTTATCACAGGAATAAAATTAACTTGAATCTACATTCAATGAGAAATCAGTGATGTCAAATGATAGTGTAATAATATTTTGCAATTTAACAGTTTTTGCTGAATTGAGAAATGCAGTTTTAGTGAAAAGAATTCAATTTAAAACATTAAAAATATCTTACTGACTCTAAACTTTTGACTGGTAGTGCATCTCTTGATGATAACTGTGTTTGCTGGTTTCTCCAGAAGAGGAGGTCTGCGCTGGTGTGGAGGAAGATGAAGATCTGGAAACTGGACTTTCTCCTGTTCTGAGCAATGAAGGACTGAATTATTTGATGTATCGAGCCGAGAGTCTGAACAGTGTACAATCAGACTCATCGAATGGCAGAGAAGATTAATATTGAGTGTCTAAGTGTGTGTGTGGGCGTGCTGATGTGTGTGTGAGCGATAGAGTGTTATATGTGTATTTGTGAAATGTTGCTGTTTTTGCGGGGGTTTGGAAGGAGCCAGAGAACCGACAAAACTTTAAAGGTATATTTATTCAAGGTATATATTTTCCCCAATTTCTGTTTAAAAGAGATTTTTTCAACACATTTCTAAACGTAATAGTTTTAATAACTCATTTCTAATAACTGATTTATTTTGTCTTTGCCATGATGACAGTAAAAAAAAATAAATAAAAAAAAAAGATATTTGTCAAGACACTTCTATACAGCTTAAAGTGACATTTAAAGGCTTAACTAGGTTAATTATGTTACCTAGGCAGGTTCGGGTAATTAGGCAAGTTATTGTATAACAATGTTTTTTTCTGTAGACTATTGAAAGAAAATATAGCTTAAAGGGGCTAATCATTTTGACCTTAAAATGGCTTTTAAAAAATTAAAAACTGCTTTTATTCTAGCCGAACTAAAACAATTACGACTTTCTCCAGAAGAAAAGATATTATCAGAAAAACTGTGAAAATTTTCTTGCTGTTAAACATTATTTGGGAAATAATTTAAAAAAAGAAAACAAAATTCAAAGGGGGGCTAATAATGCTGACTTCAACTGTAACTGTGTCTAGGCCTGGACCTCTCTCCGCTTCCTCTGCCATAGTTCCTCCTCTAGTCCAGACCTCCTTCTGTGGGATTCGAGCCACAGGTGCTTCTCATTATTTACTTACTGCCGACCTTGTTCCATTTCCATGGCTCTCGTCCCCGCCGCCTTGCCACAATGGTGATACAATAATTAACAACAAAGTTCTCTGGTACTGAATACAAACTATAAATCTGCATTATATAAATATTGAAACATACCTCACACAATTAAACCCGGTGTACTTGGAAGCTCAGCTCAGTTCACTGCAAAGGACAGGGTTGTCTGATCAACTTTCTGGATTCAGGTTTTCATACTTAAAATACTTAGTGAAAAAATGTATTCAATCATTCATTCATTTTCTTTTCTGCTTATTCTCTTTATTAATCAGGGGTCACCACAGTGCAATGAACTGCCAACTTATCCAGCATATGTTTTATGTAGCGGATGCCCTTCCAGCTGCAACCTAGTACTTGGAAACACCCATACACTAATAAAAAAAATAAATAATTCACGGTGGCGCAGTGGGCAGTGCTGTCGCCTCACAGCAAGGTTGCTGGTTCGAGCCTCGGCTGGGTCAGTTTGCATGTTCTTCTAGTGTTGGCGTGGGTTTCCTCTAGGTGCTCCCGTTTCCCTCACAAGTCCAAAGACATGCGCTACAGGAGAATTTAATAAGCTAAATTGTCCATAGTGTATGTGTGAATGAGAGTGTGGGTTTCCCAGTGATGGGTTGCTGAAAGGCCATCTGTTATGATCACGCTTCACAGACTGGAGCAGCAACCAATTGCGATTCACAGACTGGAGCAGTGACCAATCATGCTTCTCAGTGTGAAGCAGCAATCAATCATGCTTCTCAGTCTAGAGCAGCGACCGATAATGCTTCGTAGTCTAGAGCAGCGACCAATCACGCTTCACAGACTGCAGCAGCAACCAATCAGGCTTCACAGACTGGAGCAGCGACCAATCATGCTTCTCAGTCTGGAGCAGCGACCGATGATGCTTTGTAGTCTAGAGCAGCAACCAATCATGCTTCACAGACAGAAGCAGCGACCAATCATGCTTCGTAGTCTGAAGCAGCGACCAATCATGTGTCACAGACTGAAGCAGCGACCAATCATGCTTCACAGACTGGAGCAGCGACCAGTCACGCTTCACAGACTAGAGCAACGACCAATCACGCTTCACAGACTGGAGCAGCGACCTATCACGCTTCACAGACTGGAGCAGGGACCAATCAATCATGCTTCACAGACTGGAGCAGCGTGAAATTACACTGGAGCAGCGACCAATCATGCTTCTCAGTCTGAAGCAGCGACAGATAATGCTTCGTAGTCTAGAGCAGCAACCAATCATGCTTTACAGACTGGAGCAGCGACCAATCATGTGTCACAGACTGAAGCAGCGACCAATCATGCTTCACAGACTGAAGCAGCGACCAATCATGCTTCACAGACTGAAGCAGCGATCAATCACGCTTCACAAACTGGAGCAGCGACCGATAATGCTTTACAGACTGGAGCAGCGACCGATAATGCTTTACAGACTGGAGCAGCGACCAATCAAGCTTCAAAGACTGGAGCAGCGACCAATCACGATACACAGACTTAAGCAGTAACCAATGATGCTTCTCAGTGTAAAGCAGCGACTAATCACATTTCACAGACTGAAGCAACGACCAATCATGCTTCACAGATTGGAGCAGCGACCAATCACATTTCACAGACTGGAGCAACGACCAATCATGCTTCACAGACTGGAGCAACGACCAATCACGCTTTACAGACTGGAGCAGCGACCAATCTTGCTTCACAGACTGGAGCAGCGACCGGTAATGCTTTACAGACTGGAGCAGTGACCAATCACGCTTCACAGACTGGAGCAGCGACCAATAACGCTTCACAGACTGGAGCAGCGACCAATCACGCTTTACAGACTGGAGCAGCGACCAGTCACGCTTCACAGACTAGATCAGCGACCAATCACGCTTCATAGACTGGAGCAGCAACCAATCACGCTTCACAGACTGAACCTGCGACCAATCACGATACACAGACTTAAGCAGTGACCAATTATGCTTCTCAGTGTAAAGCAACAACCAATCACGCTTCACAGACTGGAGCAGCGACCAATCACGCATCACAGACGGAAGCTGCAACCAATCACGATTCACAGACCTAAGCAGCGACCAATCATGCTTCTCAGTCTGGAGCAGTGATAGATAATGCTTCGTAGTCTAGAGCAGCGACCAATCAAGCTTCACCGATTGGAGCAGCGACGAATCACACTGAAGCAGCGACCAATCATGCTTCTTTAGTCTGGAGCAGCGACCAATGATGCTTTATAGTCTAGAGCAGCAACCAATCACACTTCACAGACAGAAGCAGCGACCAATCATGCTTCATTGTTTGGAGCAGCGACCAATCACGATTCACAGACTGGAGCAGTGACCAATCATGCTTTACAAATAGGAGCAGCGACCAATCATGTGTCACAGACTGAAGCAGCAACCAATCATGCTTCACAGACTGAAGCAGCGACCAATCATGCTTCACAGACTGAAGCAGCGACCAATCATGCTTCACAGACTAGAGCAGCAACCAATCAGGCTTCACAGACTGGAGCAGCGACCAATCATGCTACTCAGTGTAAAGCAACGACCAATCCGTCTTCACAGACTGGAGCAGTGACCAATCACACTTCACAGATTGGAGCAGCGACCAATCACGCTTCACAAACTGGAGCAGCGACCAATCATGCTTCACAGACAGAAGCAGCGACCAATTATGCTTCTCAGTTTAAAGCAACGACCAATCACACTTCACAGACTGGAGCATCGACCAATCATGCTTCACAAACTGGAGCAACGACCAATCATGCTTCACAGACTGGAGCAATGACCAATCATGCTTCAAAGACTGGAGCAGCGACCAATCACATTTCACAGACTGGAGCAGCGACCAATCACTTTTCACAGACTGGAGCAGCGACCAATCACGCTTTACAAACTGGAGCAGCGACCAATCACACTTCACAGACTAGAGCAGCGACCAATCATGCTTCACAGACTGGAGCAGCAACCAATCATGCTTCACAAACTGGAGCAATGATCAATCATGCTTCACAGACTGGAGCAGCAACCAATCATGCTTCACAGACTGGAGCAGCGACCAATCACGCTTCACAAACTGGAACAACGACCAATCATGCTTCACAGACTGGAGCAACGACCAATCATGCTTCACAGACTGGAGCAGCGACCAATCACGCTTCACAAACTGGAGCAACGACCAATCATGCTTCACAGACTGGAGCAACGACCAATCATGCTTCAAAGACTGGAGCAGCGACCAATCACATTTCACAGACTGGAGCAGCGACCAATCACTCTTCACAAACTGGAGCAGCAACCAATCATGCTTCACAGACTGGAGCAGCAACTATTCACGCTTCACAGACTGAAGCTGCGACCAATCACGATACACAGACTTAAGCAGTGACCAATCATGCTTCTCAGTGTAAAGCAACGACCAATCACGCTTCACAGACTGGAGCAGCGACCAATCATGCTTCACAAACTAGAGCAACGACCAATCATGCTTCACAGACTGGAGCAACGACCAATCATGCTTCAAAGACTGGAGCAGCGACCAATCACATTTCACAGACTGGAGCAGCGACCAATCACTCTTCACAGACTGGAGCAGCAACCAATCATGCTTCACAGACTGGAGCAGCAACCAATCACGCTTCACAGACTGAAGCTGCAACCAATCACGATACACAGACTTAAGCAGTGACCAATCATGCTTCTCAGTGTAAAGCAACGACCAATCACACTTCACAGACTGGAGCAGCGACCAATCACGCTTCACAGACTGGAGCAGCGACCAATCACACTTTACAGATTGGAGCAGCGACCAATCACGCTTCACAGACTGGAGCAGCGACCAATCACGCTTCACAAACTGGAGCAGCGACCAATAACTCTTTACAGACTGGAGCAGCGACTAATCATGCTTCTCAGTCTGAAGCAGCGACGAATCACGCTTGAGCAGCGACCAATCATGCATCTCAGTCTGGAGCAGCGACAGATAATGAATGCTTCGTAGTCTAGAGCAGCGACCAAACACGCTTCACAGACTGGAGCAGCGACGAATCACGGTACTCGGTGTAAAGTAGCGATCTATCACGTTTCACAGACTGGAGCAGCGACCAATCACGCTTCACAGACTGGAGCAGTGACCAATCATGCTTCTCAGTCTGGAGCAGCGACCAATCACGCTTCACAGACAGAAGCAGCCACCAATCATGCTTCGTAGTTTGGAGCAGTAACCAATAATGCTTTACAGATTGGAGCAGCGACCAATCATGCTTCACAGACTGGAGCAGCGACCAATCAGGCTTCACAGACTGGAGCAGCGACCAATCAGGCTTCACAGACTGGAGCAGCGACCAATCATGCTTCACAGACTGGAGCAGCGACCAATCACATTTCACAGACTGGAGCAACGACCAAGCATGCTTCACAGACTGGAGCAGCGACCAATCAT